CTGCCACCTAGTCGAATCATTTCTAGATCTGAATCTAGAACAGCACACCTAGGGAACTTTTCCACCCTCCTAGACTAACTCGCCCGCCATTGCTGCTACCTCGTACATGACGAGAACTTCGTACATGCTGCTTCTACGAATGAAGCGATATCTGCTGGAAGTTTCTGCAATTGCAAGTACAAAAATCGTTTTTTGTATGGCAAAATCATAATATACACTGCTGATACATCTACGTGCAACATACTGCGCGGAACATATTGCCGCTGCTTCTACCAGTGGCGATCTTCCTCGATACTGCTGCATAGGAGGTGTTCGTTTCGGCGGCTGCGGTCATTGCGACCTCTTGGAGCTGGCGATGCTGCTGCAGCGACTATGACTGCTGCTGCTGCCGGGACGGTTGCTGCTGCTATGAGACGAGCCGCTGCTGCTTACGCTGCGCATGGCGAGACAACGGCTGCTGCTGTTGCGGTTGGAACAAACTCACGGTGGCATGTGGCAAGACCGCTGCAGTTGCGGGTGTCCTATCGCTACTGCTATCCTGTTATCTGCTGCTGATGCATGATCGCTACTGCTGCTGCGCACGAATCTTGCTGGAGCTGCGAGATCGCCGCTGCTGCTGCTGCTGTGCGATCAATGTTGCCGCTGCTGTGCGCTGTTGCTGCTACTGTGCGATTGCTGCTGCTGCTACTTCGCGATCGCTGCTGCTGTGCGATCGCCGCTGCTGTGCGATCGCTGCTGCTGCTGCTGCTGCCGCGCAATCGCTGCTGCTCCTGCTTCGCGATCGCTGCTGCTGTGCGATCGCTGCTGCTGTGCGATCGCCACTGCTGTGCGATCGCTGCTGCTGCGGCTGCCGCGCGATCGCTGTTCCTGTGCGGTCGCTTCTGCTGCTGCGCGATCGCTTCTGCTACGGCTGCCCGATCGCCGCTGCTACTTCGCGTTCGCTGCAGCTACTCCGTGATTGCTGCTGCTGGGCACGATCTGCGCTGCTGGCGCGCGATCGCCTTTGCTGGCCTGCGATCGCCATTGCTGGTGCACGATCGCCGCTGCTAGCGTGCGGTCGCTGCTGCTGCCTCAATAGCGCATCTGCTGTGGCGTGATTTGCTGGTGCTATCGAGATCGAGATGGTGCTGCTCTGCCTGACGACACAGCAGCTACCACAGCTATGAGGGACGAGAAGTTGCCCTCGCTGCTATGTGCAAACTGAAATTGCAGTTACTGGTGTAACTCTTGATTTGGTGTTAAAAGATTGTGGTGGCCTATAAGATTATGGCCTTAAAAAAAAAAAAAAAAAAAAAAAGACAAGGCCCAAAGAAGATTATGATTCAGTGTAAGGGCCAGAGCATGACACTTGCAGTATTGTGTCGTGCAGCATAAGAGGCCGTCCGCGTGCATCATTATGTCTGAATTAATATGCGGTATGCCGGATTTGTACGCCTCATAATAATTAGTAACGCGTTCTTCCCCTATTATGGGATGTGAAGCACTTAACACGCTTTTACCGTAACTTCTATTGGGACGCACACCCGTTTCAATTACGGCGATGGATTTTTCTGCTGGCTAAATCGCAAACTTGCAATGGTTGGACAATAGTGTCGCCTTTGTTGTCGAGCATATGCGTACTTACGCTGAAAACTGGTGATATCACCGCGCATCCAAAAAATAAAAAAAAGGGGGGGGGGGGGGGGGGGGGGGTACGGGTACCCTGAGGGCCGTGATAATGAGGCATTTCCAAAGTAATTTTGCCATCTACGGTACCATATCTCTCAATTATTCGGCGCCTTAATGCAGAAATTGCCAAAACTACGTGGTCGAGTTCAATTCAACCCTTGCTGCCATTTCAACATTATGATGTGTTTTTCCGTAAATGGTAACACTCCCTTCCTAAGCTATCGCTCGGACGTACCACCACTCCTCGTAATTATGGCGCTGAAGTGATTCGGCTGACTGTGACGCAAACGCGCACATCGTTTACGCAATTGTCGAGTACTTGTTGTCATTCAGTTGGCGCTATACAGAAAGTTGTCGACTCCAAAAAAAAAAAAAAAAAACTATTCTCATCGCCTTGAGACCTATCGTAAACGCGTCATCATTGTCGAACTTTCAACGTTTTTATGTTCAATCCCTGATTTTCAGCGTTCGGTTTTAGCAAGGTCTGCATTTCGGAGCAATTTCCAGTATACGACATAGTCTTTCGCGGTATGACAAGCCATGCCAGCGTCTTGGTGTGACCATATCCATGTGCTAATTGAAGGCTCTTGTTGGGAGCCACAAGCCGTTTTTTTTTACAGCACGCTTGGATACATGCACAAGGATCCTCTTACATTCACATATCATACATGAACATTCATTGTAGAAAAACCCACCAGGACATGAAAGTCCATGTGGATAGCGCACACGTACTTGATTTCTTCGGACTCGTTGTGACGTGTATACCCCATTTGGATTGACCATTTCACAGCCCCTCACCTTGAAGTCTTTCGTCTTTTTATGAAGTCACACCACCAAAAGGGGAAGGATATCGATCTGGCGTGCGATCCGTCAACATCATTGCACTTTTGTTAACACAAACTCGTGTCTTGAGCATGCACGTTACGAGCATAATGCTGGAGGATGGATTGGAAATATTTGGTTGGTTGTCGCTTCTATGCGCACATCTAACCTTATAACTGATGTGATTCGGACCTTTTGGTCTATACAAAAGGTGGATCTCGTCGAGAGGCGGGTTGCTTGCCCTCACACACCCACTTCACTGATGATATTCCATGTCGTAATGGCTCACGTTTCATAAAATTTCCCATATCGTATAGCATGGTTTTTCCATTGCGTACTAACCGTTGGTTCCCCTTTTCATGGCTCCTGCATCTATTGAACCTTGAACACATAGTGCTACCGTATTTACAGAGGCGCTAAATTCGATACTGCATGTTTTGTTGTTAATTGACAACGAATGCCCTATCAAGGGCACCGGATTGTAAGCTGGTTACACAAGCTGTATGCATTGTACACATTGGAAATGCGTCAAAGTTTGGTATGTGCTTCACAACTCCTTTGCAGCAACATGCCACTAGTCTTCAGCCTTAATACTCGAGGCAACATCGTTTGCATACCATGCAACCAGTGCATCAACATGTTAACGTGAGCAATACGTCATCGACCGTGATCTACGGTAAATACGACTTAGTCATGTAGTCATGCTGCGAAAGGCCCGCCCTACATCGAAGTGACGTGATGTTATTGCACAACGTTGACATTATGCTCAATTCAACAACTATGGTTAGCTACCATAACTTCCCGACTTCATCACTTACGTGCTCGGTCGTCGGATAAACGACTAACATCCTCGAACGACTGCCAAAGGGTTTTATTTAGGTTCTCTTACGAGATGGATGGCGCCTCATCGCTACTGATGATTTCTTGCGACAATCACTGTGCAACTTATTGCTCACTCGATTCTTACGCGCATCTGATACTTCTTTCATTGTTCTCTTCTTGGGAACCTCCCCCACAATAGTAGGTGACGGTATATAGTTCCTCCATTCCATTCCGTCCTTCCCTACTAAGGTAAAACCCTGAGTTCTAGAGCCTTGCTCCCGACGCACCTAATGTCTCTTATCTCCTATGACGACTGCTCTGCAGACTCCTTGGAGAGTCTTGTCTTAATATGCAAAATTTTTAAATACAATTTTCTAAATTTAAAGATTATGACAAGACTTGTAAAGGATTATGCAGTAAGGAGTCATCTGCTCCTTATCTCGTGGCAGGTCCACAGACCTGCCACCTAGTCGAATCATTTCTAGATCTGAATCTAGAACCCACCCTCCCGCCCTTACGCTAGTTAGTAGCCTCGTTAGCCTCGTATCTATACCAGTGGTAGTTATTTTCGTCTCGTTATATCCTCATTATCTTTGTAATTTGCAATCTAGTGTGCTGTATGATTGAGATCTGAAATATGACGACTGCTCTGCAGACTCCTTGGAGAGTCTTGTCTTAATAGAGGAACTCCTTTCCTTCTGAGTAGCCATGTCTTCTGATGTTGTAGGTGTTTTGATAGTTGAATTCCCCCTGATAGCTCTCATACCATGTTGGGCTGAGAAAAGCCCTTAGGATCTTTGCAGGGGTGAACTCTGGGTAGGACTGATGTAATAGCGGAAGCGTTTTAGTAAAGAGTTGTGAACCACCTTGCGCTAGTATGTGAGGGCAAAGTTGATTGATTAAAGCAAAGAGATACAGGATAATATAAGAGTACAAGGAATACGAAGAGATATGGTTATAACTACTTTACTGTTGCTGTTGCGGTTCGATACAGTGACGACTCGGGCAACTGCTCTGTAGCGAGTCAGTTGTGTGTCCTTGCTGTCGCGCTGTACTTGTCAGGTCAAAGGTCGCTGACCTTCGACTTTCGCGTAACCTCCAGCAGTTGCTCAACCTCCCAAGGGTTGACTCGCTGATGCTGCGATATGTTGTGCTTCACTTATGCCTTGGTGTTTCGACACGACAGAGGCGCTTAGAATTAGTTGTTTCCAACAATATGCGGGTGCACTCGCAAATAGAATGCATAAAATAAACAAATCCCAACATCTTATTGAAAGGCACGCACACGCAAGCAGAATAGACCACCGCGGCCCATCTCTCCAGCCCTCAATCCGGCATACAGCACCGCGGCAGGACCTGGAAAGCGTATGTGTGGGCCACGCCCGACTCAACCCAAGAAGCTCATCCGGCCACACCCTCAGTTCCTGCAGTCTCGGTGGAACCCAAAAACCCGATACCGGTATAATCCTGACCAAACCAAGACTTAGGGTGAAATCTAACCTCATTCTCTAAGAGGGACAACGCGGCCCTAAAGGTGGTGGTGGCGGATGTGAAGTGAGTTTCAGCTGTACAATTTGAGTGCAACCTCTGTGTCCTAGCCCAAAGTCCAAAGAATCGCGAGCGAGAGAGTCGTCAAAGCTGGAGAGGAAAGTATTGTGTCGGTGTGGGCTGGCAGGTGGAGCAGAAACCTACAGGCTGATTGGCTGCACGGCAAGCACCGACCGCACCGCATGCCCGAATTGGTCCCTCCACGTCAGGCTGCCGTAACTGAAGGCCTGGGATGCTGCTGTAACGTTGAATGTCACCGTAAATGTCTGAGTTTTGGCCGGCGAAATGGTGAAGGTTGATGGGGAAACGGTGACGCGCACGTTAGCAGGAGCAACTACACTCGCAGTGTACGTACACGCCTGGTTAAACACATTCACCACCCACCGCGTGACCACCACGCTCTTGACCAATCGCGAGACCGAGATGGATGGGCGGTTGAGATTGTACGCCGGGATCGGGGTCAGCTTGACTCTGGCTTGCGTGCCGATGAGATATTTCGTTCGGGTCTGGTCCTGCCCGGCCAAAAAGTTGTAATAATGCGCGAGCGCCGCAGTGTAGGTAAGCCCAGGGTCGAGCAACCCCGTCGAGTTAATATGCCCTTGGCCCATCTCAAAAGGCGTGGCGACCGCTGTGTAACTCGTCCCGATCGCCGACCCCTGATTGGTCGTCGTGCTCGCAGTGGTCATAATCGCAGACATGATCTGCGCCGGGGACCACGTCGGGTACCGCTGAGTCAGCAGCGCGGCAATCCCCGCCACGTGCGGGGTAGCCATGGATGTCCCAGAAATCATGGTGAACTGTTGTGTGGTGGAGGAGGGAGAGGAGGCGCGCCAAGACGACCAGAGGGAGACGCCCGGAGCGATGATGTCTGGCTTGAGGATGTCATTGGTGGGCCGTGGCTTGACTACGGATGAGGAGGGGTTGAGAGATGGGCCGGAGGAGGAGAAGTAGATGACGTTCGGTGCTGGGAGGTCTGTCGCGGTTGAGAAGGATGTGGAGAGAGTGGCTGTTGGGCTGTTGATTGGGCGGGTGGGGGAGGTGTGAGGGAGGCGAGGGAAAAGGGGGGGCCAGGGATGGATAGGGGGAGAGGGAGGGGTAGAGAGGAGTGAGGAAGGAGATTAAGTGTTGATTGAGAAGAGACTTATGAAGATGATAGCTGCGTAAGTAAGTAGCAGTTGGAGAGAGAGCAAACAACTGGGGACGGGCAGAGAAGAAAGAACGATCAACGGACCAAACACACACACCCACCCACACACACACACACACACACACACACACACACACACACACACACACACACACACACACACACACACACACACACACACACACACACACACACACACACACACACACACACACACACACACACACACACACACACTTACGAGGCGATGGATCGGACGTAGGTGGTCAGCGTGTCAGCAGGAGCATAGTCAAGATAAACCAAGGGCAGGCGCGAGTCGTAGGGCGGGAATGGCTTGAGGACGTCGGGGACGCCTGTGATGATCACAGCCTTGCCTCCCCGCGCTAGCACCTCCCCCACCTTGACACTCGTGCCCACGCCTCCGTACGAACAGATGACTATTCTGCCGCTGACTTTGGCCCAGTCAAGCGAGCCGGAGTAGCAGTACTGTGCCTGGAGAGTGAGAGAGGAGGGTGGAAGGGGAAGGCAAGGGTGGGGATGGAATGGCTTCAGGGCGCTGGTAGGGAAGGGAAGGCCTGTGAAGACCACAGCTTTGGCCCCCCCTGCTAGCACATCCGCCACCTAGTGACGAGGAGTGCTGAGGAATGCTGAGGAGTGCAGAGGAATGCAGAGTAGTGCAGAGGAGTGCAGAGGGGTGCAGAGGAGTGCAGAGGAATGCAGAGGAGTGAAACGAAGTGCAACGAGGCAAAGAGCCTCATTGAGTGGACGTGGACGAGGCAGCCATAGCAGAGACGCCCTCAATAATTTTCAGCCCCACCACAGTTGCACTCCCACTGCCAAGCCCCGTAGCAGCGATCGAGGTGACTTTTGAGTCAACTAAAAAAAAACCTAACCTGAGTAGAGGTAGACGAGGCAGCCATGGCAGCGATGCCCTCAATGACCCTCAGCCCCACCACACTCGCACTCCCACTGCCAAACCCTGTGGCAGCAACCGTTACTCCGTTGCCAAGAACCAGCGATGTGCTGTAGCGGCGGGAGATGGTGGAGGCGCCAACGGTGAGGTAGAAGGGCGAGAAGTTGGAGATGGTGCGATACATGGATGAGCTGTACGGCGGTGATCCGTCGTTGCCCGATGCGTACGCGACTGTCACTCCCATCTGTTGGAGCAACAAGGCAGGGAGGAGTAGGGAGAAAGAGGAGGACAGGGGTGAAAACGGTTGAAAACGGAGACAAAACGAGGGCACAAGCTTGCGAGCTGAAAGCCGAACGTTGCAGCCGCGATTACTGACCGCAAAAATGTTAGAACTGGGTAAAACGGGTCAGAGCCGGGTGGAACCGGTCAGAACTGGTCAGAACCGGTCAGAATCGCAAGGCACTCATAACACGACTGGCACATCAGTGCACACGTGCGCGTGCAGGCGTGGGCGGGCGTACCGCGTTGGCATAGAGGTACGTGGAGTCGTCAAAGTAATCCGCGGAGGGATCCAGGCCGCCCAGCGACAGGCTGAGCACATCCACACCGTCCGCTACCGCCTTGTTCACGGCGGCCTCGATATCCGCCCACGTGGCAGTCACACCGCCGCTGCTCGTGCTCCAAAAGACCTTGTACACACTGAGGAAGGCGCGTGGGGCCACCCCGCTCGCGAGCCCTGCGGATTGGCCTCGCGCGATTGATACCTGCACGTTGCTGTTGCCAGTCGCGGCTCTGAAATGGGAGGGGGGGGGGGGGGGGGGGGGGGGCGCGAGGGTGTGCGGGGGAGGATGAGTTAGGGTGCGTGGGAGAGAACGAGTGGGGAAGTTGCTTGTTTTCGGGTGATCGCCACCTGCGCGTTGCTGTTGCCCGTTGCGGCTCCGAGATGGATTGGGGAGAGGCGTTGGATGAAGTGGGAGGCAGGAGGGGGGATGCGTGAGGGGAAACGAGCTAGGATGTTGCGAGGAGGGATGGAAGAGGGGAGGGGGGATGGGGAGGAGAGGACAAGTGGGTGGGGAACCGAGTGGGAGGGAGAGGGGGGAGAGTTATTAACTGGTGAGGGAGAGAGAAAAGGGCAAAGGAGGGAAAGACGGGAGACAAGGCAAGACGGGGCAAATAAATTTTCACACGCTATCACTTGCGGGTATGCGCGCGCGGCGCGCCGCGGAAGCTTCGTCGGTTCCTTACTTACCCCGCGCACCACGTGCCGTGGCCGTCCGCGTCGCGCGCCGAGTTCCAATCGGCGGCGAGGTTGACGCTGCCGTACGCGCCGCGGAAGCCGGCGGAGAAGTAGCGCGCGCCGATGAGCTTGCGGTTGCAGCGAGGGAAGTCCGCCGTGGTCGTGCAGTTGCCCTTCCACGTGGCGGGCGGGTTCGGGTACGACGCCTGGTGATGACCGGCGGACGGGGGAGGCAGCGGGGGCAAGACAGGGGCGCGGGGGAAAGGGAATGGATGGGAGAAGAGAGGAGATTACCCCTGGGCAGGCTGTCCAAGGGGTCGCTAGCCCAATTCTCCACTGCGCTTCAAACAACAACAACAACTGCCGCCGATCGTTTGAACAATTAGTACGGGAGTTACAATGACTTACGTCTCCTGCGAACGACGGGTGTTCGGGCCAGATGCCGGTATCAACGATCCCCACCACCACGCCTTGCCCCGCGTTGCTCTGTCCGCCCGCCGCCGCCCATAGTGTGCTCGGCAGCTGCAGGAACGCGGGCGTATCCGTTGTGAGCTTGCGAATCGCGATGCTCTGCTTCACCTGCGCGACGGCCGGGTGGTTCCGCAATTGCCGGACTTGCTTCGGCGTGAGTCTCGCCGCAAATCCGTTGCTCACGTACTTGTAACTGTAGAGCACGTCTCGTGTGCTCACGCCTGCGTCGGCCGCGACGCGCGCCTGCATCTGCCCCAGCCACCGCGCGAATTGCTGCACGGGCCGGCTGAACGGGTCGAAGCGGAAGCGGCGGCGGCCAGCGAGCGTCGCGGCGGCACCCGCGCGGAAGGACTGCGCGATGCGCTGCCCGTTGACGGTCGCTGCCAGCCCGTCGATTCCGCCAGTGTACCCCGCGACGGGCGGCGAGTTGCGCATGCGCACGATATAGACCGGAAGGCGCTCCACCATCCCGGACTTATTGACTGACGGAGGGAGGCGAGCGATGGAGGGCGGCGGGGGGAAGGTGAGAGAGAAACGAGGACCGGCGCTAAGACGACTCGGGGACGCAGTCGGCGACGGTCAACAGTGGCCGGCCGACGGTCGACCGTCGACGCTTGACGGTCAGCAGTCGAGGATGGACCACGCGCCGGGCCAATGGGCGACTCGCGAAGATTAGGTCATCAAGATATTTCTACCACCATGGACAGCGAGTTTCGAAATGTTTCAACAGTTTAACACCTCAACATGCAGCGTAAGGCGTAACAACCCGCCGTAGTGGTATAACCCTATCGGCGATTTATGAGCCGACTCGAGCAAGAATCACCACAGAAGCAGTACTACTACTCGTTCTCACCTTCGTCAAAAAGGGTGTCCTCTTGGGCGAGCGTGATGCCGCATAGGAGGGACGCGGCGAGTATGAGAACCGCGCAGGTCGTTTGTTGATCTCGCCGCTGGGCTCGTTTCGTCGCCATTGCGTCGACGCGACGACGGGGTGGGAACGGAAATGATGGCTAGAAAACCGCTGGTGGTTCGGGTTCGAGCTATTGGTTGGGATGGAGAGTGAGTCGACTGCAGGCAGCAGCGTCGGAAGTCGTTTAGGAGCCAAGAAGAACGAAATGAGAGTCGAAGAAAACGCGCGATGGTCGAGCGAGAGAAGAAGTGTTGGTTCTTTTAGTAGCGAGAATGCATCAGTATTAGTCGCGAGTTGCAGGTCTCAGGCTTTTTGAAATGGCGAGGGGCGGTGTATCCAGGAAACAAGAACTCAGGGGAGGACAGGATGTCAGGTCAGGTTTGTTCAGGTGGCGCCAGTGGCGTGGATGGGGAGCCGCCTGTGTGGTGGTGGGGTCGGATTCGCAGGTGTATGTGTGGTGGTGGAAAGCGGCTCTGCTTGAAGTTGAAGAAATTCTGCGAGGTTCCCTTGGCTGTGCGTGTGCTGTGCTTGCAGGTCGTCCTGTCGTCTTGCTGTCATGTGTGGGGCAAGTGGCGGGGAGGGAGCAACGTGGAACAGAGATGACATGAAACTGTATGGTCGGCGATGATACAGCGGATGAACCGCGCGAATCGCAACGCAACGCAACGCAACACGTCGTTTCGTGTTGATTCAAGGCTGTTGGATGATGATGGGTGAGAAGAGATCGGGTGGAGTGGAGTGGAGTGGAGCAGCAATGGAAAATGGTGTCGTGACCCGTCTGTTGGATGATGATGGGTGAGAAGAGATCGGGTGGAGTGGAGTGGAGTGGAGCAGCGATGGAAAATGGTGTCGCTTCCCTCGCTCCTCTGCTGCCCTCAAGGCAGGAATTTCGTCGACTTCGGGGAGGTGTCATCTCGGACAGCGTGCCTCAATTGAAAGCTGTACCATATTGCATCCATCTCAATTGCCAGTCTGCCAGAGGAGCTGATTCAGAAGAAAGCCGCACAGCAACCTAGAGCGCATTCATGCCTGGGTCGATGCCTGGGAGAAAACCATGGCAAGCAATGGAATGCACCAGTTCAGACAATCACTCTAGTCCCAGGCACATCGGCCTGGCGAACTCCCACTTTTCCACTGTGCCACAGACCACGTTCCAACAATACAACGACTTTCCCTCACAATCCTAACATCTTAGAGTCAGTTTTAGACCAATGTAAGGAATTTTCTCGGCATTCCTTACGGAGCCCGACTACATCGCGTACAGCAACAGCCGTTGTTCGCCCGTTACTGCTAACGGAACTTCGCCGACTTCGCGCGCACTGTTTCACCAAACCTCGCACTGCTGGCCCGGCCGTGTCGGCCTACGCTTCGGGACTAGCCCGAGCCTCGCTGCCAGCATAGCACTGGCTAGCTCGCACGCACCGCGTTACCGTTTGCATGCTTCGCATATAAATGTTCGCTCATGCCTTCGCTCATATCTTTGTACTCGTTTGACACCTTAGTGCAATTCTCGCTACTTCGATTCATTGCACCCGTAACACTTGGTATTCAGAGCCCCTTTCTTTCGGACCGCGCATCTCCGCACCCCAGGAAATCAACTTTTGATTGTTCACTCGAAGGGACTTACGTACCTTAGCACCTAGGAGCCGCTGTCCTCGCGTTCTCTCGTAAACGCGTGCAGCCACGACTGCGCCTAGACTAAGACGAGCCGACGTCCTTCGAAATGGCCGAACACATCGACGTCACGACTCTCACGCAGGAGCATTTGAACGATCTGCTGCGACAAATCCGCGAGAGCGCCGAGGAAATTGCGACGCTGACGGCAGAACGCTCGTCCCTGCAAAACGACCTCACAAGGGCACAATCCCAAGCACCTGGCACTCCGATTCAGCCCGCACCACAGACATCACAGCACGGAAGTGTGGGGCAACCCGCGAGCGCGGCCAGTGATGGCGTCGTCCGCCCCGACGGAGACGACGACCACGACACGACACACCCCGGAGCGACGAATGCGGCCCCAAGTCAACCTCGCGTCACGATTTCGGCACCGACCCACGATTCGGGACTGCCGTCACCGATGCCGCTGAAGCCGCAGCGTCCGCCATGCTTTGACCCGAGTCAACGGGGTGGTCCTACCGTTCAGGCGTGGTTGTTCACGATGAACGTGTTTTTCGACGCCAACTACGTCTCGGAGGATTCGGCGAAAATTCGCTACGCCGTGTCGCTGCTGCGAGGACCCGCCATGGACTGGTGGCGCGTCATCGTCACGAAGCCGAATGACTACGCGACTCTACCGACACGGGAAGGACAAACCGGACCCTGGGCGCCGTCGTACTTCGTGGAGGTGCCCCAATATCGCACGTGGGACGCGTGGTGCGCAGGTCTGCGCGCTCGATTTGAGCCAATTGCGGCTTCGATCGCGGCGCGACAGAAGCTCCGCACTTGGCGCCAACTCGGTTCAGTCCAGGACTACACCAGCGGGTTTCTGGCGCTATGCGAGCAAGTGGGCTACATGCATGAGAGCGAGCGCATCGACCGCTACATCGGCGGCCTGAAGCACGACATCGCTCAAGAAATTCAGCTTCGCGGCGTCACCGATTTTCAGGAGATTCTCGCTATGGCGGAGAAGCTCGACTTCTTCCGCCGACCGAGACCGGGGTCCTACGGCAGTAGCAGCAACTGGGGACATCGGTCTCGTGGGACGAACGAGGGCGCCACGATACGTGCCGTCGCCGCGAATGCCGCTGCCGCACCGTTCAAAGGGCGCTGCTTCGCGTGTAATCGGCCGGGACACCGCAAGAGCGAATGCCCGGAAAACGCTAAGGGAAAGGGGGAAGCTGAGCAGCAGAAACAGACCAAGCAGCAGGGAAACGCTGGGAGTCAGTAGCAGACGGGCCCTCTACTGACAGGTCACGCCGCTCGCCCGACCCAACCGACCCTCACCGAGTGATTGTGCCGGTTCACGCAATCGACCACACCCGGCCGAATAAGGAGGGTACTACGGTAGACAGCCCTATACTGCTTAGTGGGAAAATCGGGACGGACTTAGTTAAAATCTTCGTAGACGGGGGAGCCAGCCACAGCCTCATCAACACTGCTACAGCACGAAAACTGCGACTGCCACTGGACAGATGTTTACCTGAGATCGACGCACGACTGGTAGACGGCACGCCGCTGGCAATACGGGAACGAGTAGACCGGGTTCGGATTCGATGCGGGGGTAACTTCACATTTAGCCAAGAAATGCTCGCAACGACCCTCGACGGAACCGATATTTTACTCGGGCGTGATTGGTTGCGACGACACAATCCGCGAATCGACTGGACGACGGGTGACTGCACCGTGCGAGTGAACGGTAACCACATCGCCCTACCTCGCTGGGGCTCGCCTGAGTCTTCGTCGGTGCGTGTCAACGCGATCACGATGAAACGCGCCGTAGCGGCGGGAGCTGACGTGTACGCGGTCGACATTCGGGAAGCCGAGGCAGCAGACAAGGGAGGGGATTTGCAGAAACTGCTGACCGACGTACCGAGTGACCTGGCAGCACTGTTGAAGCAGTACAGCGACATTTTCCCGGACGACTTACCGACGGGACTGCCACCTCAGCGACCGCACGATCACAGAATAGAATTGGAACCGGGGGCACAGCCAACAGTACAGCGACAGTTCCGACTGACCCAGCCCGAACTGGACGAACTGAGGAAGCAGCTCGATTACCTGCTCGAGAAGGAGTTCATTCGCCCTAGTTCGTCGCCTTTCGTAGCACCGATACTGTTTACACCGAAAAAAGACGGGGGATTTCGCATGTGCATCGATTATAGAGCACTGAACAGGGTTACCATCAAATCCCGTTACCCCATCCCACGAGCCGACGAACTGATCGACCAACTGCGCACAGCCCGGGTTTTCTCGAAAATCGACCTCCGGGGGGGTTACCATCAGATTCGTGTCAATCCGCCCGACTGCCCTAAAACCGCATTCGGAACACGCTACGGATCCTTCGAATATACCGTCATGCCCTTCGGACTGACCAACGCCCCCGCCACTTTCCAAATGACCATGAACGAAGCTTTCCGCCCACTCTTAGATAAGTGCGTCATAGTATACCTGGACGACATACTGATTTACAGCCCTGACAGAGCACAGCACTTACAGGACATCGAAGCAGTTTTTAAAATACTGAGTGAGAACCGCCTACTGACAAAAGCGTCTAAGTGTGAATTTTTACAGGAGCGTCTGGAGTTTTTGGGACACGTTATTTCAGCCGCAGGAGTGGAAATAGACCCGAAGAAAATTGCGACGATTCAGGCGTGGCACGCGCCGACCAACTTGACAGAGTTGCAGAGTTTTCTGGGGTTCGTCAACTACGTGCGCCGGTTCGTCCCCGACATGGCGAAGCTGACTGCCCCGTTGACAGACCTGCTGAGGAAGGGGGTTGAGTACACGTGGGGGGAGAAAGAGCAAGCTGCCTTCTCGGCCCTCAAAAACATTTTGTGCTCACCGCCCGTGCTTCACATCGCCGATCCACACCGTCCGTTCGAGCTCGTCACTGACGCAA